ATGGATGGATGGATGGATGGATGGATGGATGGATGGATGGATGGATGCTTTAACAGTAAAAAGTAAAAATCTAGTTTTCACACAAAATGATCTCACTTATCTTCAGACTTAAGAACAGTTTCAAATTCTGCAGTCTCTGTAAAACAGTAGGAAAGTTCATTTACTAGAGTAAACCTCTGAAAGCTGAATTAATTAACAACTTAACTTTCCAATTATGAGCTAAAGTATTTCCAAACAGACAGCCTTTGATTAGGTACGTGATATTGTATATAATATGTCTTTTGTATTTCATTTAAATTCTTCTTCTCTTTTGTCATTTTGGATTGAGATGCTTTGGCTGTGATTTTAGTTGTGAAATATATTTATGAATATTAATTAAAAAAAATGTATATACTCAATACAAATGGTTATAATTAAAATCCACCAATGAGGGTTCTCAGTTAGACAACGGTAATGTCTGTCGAAGAGCTCCAAAAGGCTATGTATTGTTTAAAAAATCTGTTTGTTTAACTTTCACTGGAGGTTAACTAGTTAGGCACAAACATGGAGCAAATATTTTAATAGCTAACACATCTTCAGAGGCTTATACCAATGCAAATAACTGATATTGCTAACTAATAACTTGCTAATATTGTTAGCTTCATGTGAACTTAGCTTAGCACCTACTGCTGTAGCATTTATTTCAGTAACACTTTACAATAAGGTACACAAAATTTGATCAACTACTAGGGAATGCCTCAGGAATGAATGAGGAACACATCAGGAGCTGATGGGTAGTTAACCAGTACTTACTGGGGAACACACAGCCTAGCCTTATTAGGGGACTACTGGTTAATTACCTGGGACCTAGTAGTTAATCAAATGTTGTGTACCTTATTGTATAGTGTTACCTTTATTTCTTTTCTTACAGTGACTGATGAGTGTAGAAATTTAATTCTCGCTCCACAAGGCTGACAACTCACTGAGCATTTTTGGTTTGACACAACATCTGAACATCTGAACTCTCTGCAGATGTCTCAGCTAAAACTGGATCACATGGAATGAGCTTCGGGCCAAATATGGCCAAAGGAGCACCAGTTCACAGTTATTATTGGAAAGAGAAGCTCTCTTGTATGTAACAATATTTAACTCAAGCTGTGTTTACCCTAAATTAAAAAAAAAGATAATTTCAATATAACCAAACAGCTACAAAAGCAGTTCATAAATTACAAATTATGAATCCATGAAAAATATTAAAAGCATGATCTGAATCCATCAGTTCCAGATGCGCAAGGATTTTTTAAATACAGCAGTTCTAAGAAATCTCTCCAGCTAACATGTTTCTACATCATTTTACAATAAAGTAAATCCTTGAACTTGAAAATACTTGTATTTTGACACCTGGTGCATCTACTTTGCACATTCAGGACGGTAGATGAAAAGAGTCGGATGAGGGGCATTTAGTTGGGTGCAATACATATTCACAACCAGGAGGCTGCCATTTAAATGAACAGCTGTGGGGAAAATCCTGTTTCTCTTATGTTAGATGGAAGAAAATAAATGACAATCACTGCAGATTCCAGCTCTTTTATTTATTTATTAACCTTTATTTAACCAGGCAAATCCCACTGAGATCACAGATCTCTTCTGCAAGTGAGGCCTGGACCTGAAGGCGGCCTAAACCTTATTTAGGAACAATGAGAAAACCAAATCAATCTGCACTTTTCTTTAACTACTATACAATAAGGAAATATTTTGATGAAATGCACTGTTGATGTTGTGTTCAATAGGGAGAATCCAAATGCATGGCACATGCATCGAGAGAATAAGAGCAAATTAATTGAAAGTACTTAAAAGGCAGCTGGAGGTTTGTGGGGCAGAAGATGAAGGTGTAAGTGAAGGCTGAGAGGAGCTTGTGGCTGCCAGAGGGGGCTGAGGAGGATCAGACGCTGGGGAACCATTGGCTGAATGTGAAGCAGACAGGTGGCAGGTGAGGCAGGGCTGAGTGCTCTGAGTGCAGGAGAAATAACGAAGTGGATGGAAAAAAGGCAGAGTGTATCTACAGTATGGACTGGACAGGATTATGCTTTTATTCAAGTGAGTGATGCTAGCTTTCGGACCGACTTGACATTTTGTTGAAAAGACAAAATGAGCTCTGAAAGCTGCTGAGTTGATGAGTGAGTTTGAGAGAAGTGTGTGGGTTGAGAGTCAGCAGCACTAAGTATAAAGAAACAGAAATATGCACATATCAACACAAATAAAAAACAGAAGGCGTGGCGATGACTGTGGCTAAGTATTAAAAGTGTTAATTTAATTCATCCATACATCCATACATACATATATACATACAGCTATTATCGTTACCCACTTCTTCCTTTTCGGGTCTCGTGGTTCACAGGTGTCAATGTCCAGCAGTCACTGTGCGAGAGGAAGAGGACACACTGGACAGGTCTCCAGTCCATCACAGGGACAAACGAGACAAACAACCATTCACTGTCTCGCTCACACCTAGGGACAATTTAGAGTTATCAATCAGCCTAACACGCATGCGGAAGGAAACCCAAGTACCTGGATAAAACCCATGCAATTACGGAGAGAACATGCAACTCCACCCAGAAATAGAGTTGTATTTGGGCCAAAAAAAATCCGATTCGACCTGGCCTCAGGTTTCATGCATACATTGTTTTTTGGCCTTTACACTGCTGTAAATTTCCCACTGCAAGCCTAGTACAGAAAAAAAATCTTATTATATCCCAGCAGGAAGTGTCCCATGCTGCACAGGAAGTGCTGCTTCTGCTGCTGTTTGAGCTTGCAAGTAGCCATAAAACTACATTTACATTATCCATGTTTATCTTGGCCTCACTCAGGCCAGCTTTTAGCTTGTCAACCCAGTCAAAATTAAACTATTTTTCCAAACTGAAGCTGTTCAAAGAGCTATCCACAACAGGTAAGATATTAACTGCTCATAGCCTTTCCACAAAGCCTCACTTCTAAAAGATGGCACATGATTTTTGGTATACTTTGGGTAATATGCATTCCTTCAAATAATCCAGTTTATAAAGTTCTGTACCATGACAGAGGGACAATAAAATATAAATGAATAAATAAATATTTAAAAGAAAGCAGTGAGTGCAAATAATTCTTAAAAATGGCGAGTTTGCCTTGTTTGATTAAAGCTGAACTTTTCATCAGCACTTTCACCTCCTAGATGAAGATGTTGATGAAAGCAAAGAAAGGATTCTCTGATTATATGTTGGAGGGGGACGAGGATGATGAGATGTGAAGAAAACGTGAAATAAGAGCCAATCTCAGTGTGTGTCCCTCATTAGTTCAGTGTCCAGCTGAGTCTACTCCTCTTCAGCTCATCACGATGAGTGGGTGGAGGATGTGAACAGGATAGGATGACAAAAACAAAGGAAGTGGGTTTTTTGGACCAGTCTGATTGGAGGAGGCTTCAGATGAGGAGAGCTACTCACCAGCTCTTTTGTTGTCTTAATAAAATCTTGGTTAAACCATTTTTGTTCTTTTGACATGTTTGTACCGTATTTTTTGCACCATAAGGCGCACTGGATTATAAGGCGCAGTATCAATGAATGGACAATTTCTGAACTAATTTCATACATAAGGTGCACCGGATTAAAAAGGCGCATTAAGCAAACAAACAAACAAAAACGGTCCATTTCGGTAAGTCAAACTTTATTCAACGCATTCACAATAGCAACAATAACTCTAAACATTCTCAACGTTCAGTCATTGTTCAAAAATGCAAAGTAAGTAAACTACAAAACAATACACTCCTCTTCCACAAATCCATAAAACTCTTCATCTTCCGCTTCATAAGCATGTATCTTTATAGGTGCCAGTTTGTGGTCCTTACACACATGGGACTTTCCCATGTACCAGTACAGGTGTGTTGAAGCACAGTACCGTAAGTATTACCGTGTTTTCCACTGTAAACGTCACTCTGCCCTATAAGTCACATCAGTCCAAATATGTCTATTAAAGTGGAAAAATCCATAAATACGTCTCATCTGTCATGCGTCTCTGCTGACGCGTCGCGTTTGTTACGCATCACCGCTTACAACCTGGAAATGTGGTCTGAACCCAGAAACGTGGGCTGGTGTGTCAAAAATCGATTGGCTGCCAAATGGCAGCCGCGGGAGCGTGTACGGGAGGACTTTAACAAGAATTTAACAAGATTAACTCTTAAAAACAATTATTTGTTGGCTCTAAATTATAGCAAAGTTGTGTCTTAGTCTAACTTTTCCTTAATAAATGCACTTTGACGGTCAAATCAGCTGCATTTCAAAAGCCGATACGCGGAAGTAGGAGCGCGCAGAGGGACGAGTCGCTGTGCGTTTCTTCGGAATTTAACAAGATAAACACCTAAAAACAATTATTTGTTTGCTCGACTTTATAATAAATGTGTGTCTCAGTTGAACTTTTACTTAATAAAAGGACTTCAACGGTCTGTATTTAAAAAGTATTCACTGCCTCTGTGCTCCCAGGAGCACGCAGACAGGGAGGAAATCAGGAAGGAGGAACGCTGCGCATTTCTTCGAAATTTAACAAGAAAAGCACTAAAAACAATTATTTGTTTGTTCGAAATTATAGTAAAGGTGTGTCTCAGTTGAACTTTTACTTAATAAATGTACTTTAATGGTCAAATTAGCTGCATTTCGCCGGGGTGATGCAGCAAAATGAAGCTGATTTGACTGTTGCTCAAAGCAGCGAGCAGAACGAAGGTGGAAGGTTATGGCAAGCCAATTATGTCATTAATAGCTGGTGAAGATTCTCAGTCATCCAGGACATGGTAAATTGAAATAAGTTCAAGACAAAAACATTAAAGTATAACAATTAAAGTCCAGTTGTTTTTGTCTTGAATTTGTCATTATATCCACTTTTACCTATTACATGATACACCGGCATGCCTTACTACTCTAGTGCCATCTAGCGGCTGAAAAATGGTAGCGTTCAATTTTTTTCAGTCAGAATGAATGAAAATGGTCATAGCCAAAAATTGGTTTATTAATATGGGGAAAAAAATCCATAAATACGTGGCTTCGGCCTATACAGTAAGTCGCAGGGCATGCAAATTATGCAAAAACAGACGAAAATATAGTAAATACAGTACTCTACGAGACTCCTGACTACGGTAGCTGCAATGCACGGTAGCGGCTATGAAGCTTACCAACATCATACTAAAACATTTTTACATGATTTTTGAGCGACGTGTACCACATAAAATCAGTTCGAGGTCAGTAAGCACAACCAGAATTAATACATAAGGCGCACTGTTGAATTTTGACAAAATTAAAGGATTTAACTGTGTCTTATGCTGCAAAAATTACAGTACTTTTTTTTACAAACATATAAGCTAAAATACGTCTAGACGCTCTATATTACTGAGCTTAAACAGGTTTAACCCCGTGGGAACAAAATGTTTTACAAAAGTTGTAGCCCTAACGTCAAATCAGCCACTTTCTCCTTTAACTGTTAAAATAATTGAAGAAAAAAGTACTTGTCATGACCGTGTTTTAAATTCATTTGCCCCTAAGTAGTTTAATTAATGATATGGAAAATCTCTCAACAGTTGAGATGTGTTTTTAATTTGAGCAGCAGGCTTCGATTTCCAATTTAATTGAAACGTTTAACCACGAAATAGAAACTGAAACGTACAAGGTATGTGTTGCATCCTCCGGCAAGCCTTTCATTTAAAATCCCTCCTGTGTCTTCGAGGCGCCGGCCATCTGCCAGATGATGTTTTTGTTTGCAGAGACCCAGATAAAGTTGTGAAGGTCGATGTGCTGTGAGGCCTGCGAGGTGACGGCATGCATGCTGAGGAGCTGCCTTCACAGTGGGACCGAGGGCGCAAGACGAGTAGCAAGAGACAGAGAGGGCGAAGACAGCGAGGAAAGAGAAAGGGCACTTGTCATTTGAATTCTGAAGAGAGGAGATATTTTCATGCTGCTTTCAAGCAGCATCAGATTTTTCAGTCTTATTCATCTGCTCTTGGGAATTCTGATGCACACCTTCTAAAGTTTCATGCTTCTCTCTACTACCCCCCATTTTTATGGGTTTTGATTTGTTTTACCTTTGATAAATACTGCTGACTCGACAATGAAGCAGCACATATGTGGATTGTCTCTTTCACTGTTCAGCTATTATTAGCTTTCCTGAGCTCAACTTCAAAGATCCACGGTGCTTTGTTGTGGACGTAAAAGGCTCGTGGTACAAAGAGCCAACACAGCTGGTGGAGATAACGAGGGGGGGGGGGGGGGAGCTGTCTAGCTGCTCCATCGCTGTGAACTTGTAGGTGTTAATCCATCTACACTAAAAGCCAGACATTTCTCACGTGAAGTCCTCAACTCTGACCTCATTCTGCAGCTTTTTTGTGGCCCTCCTTGCACAAATGAGATGGTGCAGTCACTTTGTAATGTTTCGTCAACTTATTGGAAAAATAGCTTTGAAAACTGTTGAAAACTGCAAGAAATTTAAACAGAAATTCTCTCTTCTTTTTTTTTTTTTTTTTTAACAAACACAACCTTACCTTTTTCCCCCCATTTCTTAGGCCACGGTTGCAGCTTTCGCAGCCAGCGAAGGTCACTCCCACCCTCGAGTGGTCGAGCTTCCCAAGACGGAGGAAGGGTTAGGTTTCAATGTGATGGGCGGCAAGGAGCAGAACTCCCCTATATACATCTCCCGTATCATTCCCGGAGGTGTGGCTGAAAGACACGGTGGCCTAAAGCGAGGGGATCAGCTGCTGTCTGTCAACGGCGTGGTAGGTCTAACCAGGCTTATATTTTCATGCAAATTCAAAGGAAAACATGGACAGATTCTATATTAACATACATACTAGAACATGTTATGTACTGTAGCTGATAAGTACCAGAAACATAAATGGAAAATATCAGGTACATGTCTGGAAAATACCAGGTTATAGCAGGTATAGCTGGTACATACCATGTTTATAGTCTGTAAGTACCTGGTACATATGCTGTATTCACTAGGTATGTACCCAGTATGTACTCTGTGAGTAACAACTACGTACAACTTGTACAGTACAAGGTACACAGTATATGCCAGGTGTGTAATATTCTGTGTATTCTAATGTACTCGCTGAGCACATCCTTAAGTACCAGGTACATACCAGGTAAATACCTAGTATGTACCCAGTACAAACAAAGCAAGTTCTAGGTATTTACCCAGATAAATACTGTTCTGTACGCTACCAGTTCTCATACAGTTTGATTTGTCGAGGTATATGTGGGCCAACAGCCAGGAGAGCTGGTCTTTTCTCGGTCTTTGTACCCCTCTGCAGAGCGTAGAAGGAGAACACCACGAGAAAGCAGTGGAGCTCCTGAAGGCAGCCAAAGACAGTGTGAAGCTGGTGGTTCGCTACACCCCCAAAGTGCTGGAGGAGATGGAGGCTCGCTTTGAGAAGCTCCGGACGGCCCGGCGGCGTCAACAGCAGCAGCTCCTGATACAGCAACAGCAGCAACAGAACCTGTCCTCTCAGCAAAATCACATGTCGTAGGTGAGGCGCTTCATTACTTTAAGGGTGAGGGGGTGGGGGGAGATTCCAGCAACGCAAACGGTAATTTTCCACTTCATAATGTGGCTTAACAATATCCTGAATGGGCACTGAGTAAGCAGTAATGGGTCGCTTACTGTTCGCTTTAAGGAACTCTTCACTAAAATTGCCATTTACAATTACCCACAGTGCAGTAGCCACTTTCTACAGGCTCCTTATCTACTTACACTGTGGCCTGGTTCTGTATGAACAATCAAACAATCCTGCCCACCCGGTATCTGACACCAAATGCAAGAAGAGTCTGGTATATCATGCAGGAACTAACATCAAAAGTAAAAAAGAAGAAAATTCTGCTTGTATTTTTGAGATTTATTGGTCATTTTGTATAACTTTTTGAGCTTTATGCCACAAATGACCTGTGGGAATATTAAACAAAGCCCATCTGTTTTGTAGCCATAAACACAATCTACACAAACAGATATGCTGACTTGACTACATAATGTTTTTTTAAATATATATATTGGGTTGATTGTTTTCTGTTTGTTTGTTTGTTTTTTCACAAATCATGATATTGTCAAAGGCCAAGTTTAGTCCCTATTTTCTGTGAAAATAACAGAAAACCGTTGTTGACTAGTACAGTGTAGACATTTTTCTCCATTCAGGTCTTAATCATCACTCTGCACTCTAAAATGCAAAATCTGGGAGTTGTTTGAATCATATCAATATTTATTCTCAAATTTAGTGATTAAAAAAAGTTTTTAACAGTAGAAATATAGTTTTTGTTGTATTAAAGCAATGAAATATTCTTAATAAATATATACTGGTAGATTTTTTTCTCAACAACCAGTTGACAAAATTTAATTAACATAATTCTAACGTGTCATTTCTTAGAGTGTAGCTCTGCCAAATTCTTGAACTATGATTACATTTAGCTTTAAGCTACAAAGCAACAAGGAAATACAGAAAAGTTTATGCAACACGTTGTCACTTTTTAATATACTGCCTGTTTTCATTAACATACAGAGGAAACTAAAACCCTTCATCTGTATTTCCAGCTTTGCATGTTTCCAGGAAGAAGCCGAATTTGGGAAATAATGACTATTTTTTGCAACACCACTTTCATTTTCAAATTAATGAGTTTCTCTGTCATAAAACCTCTGTTTGAACAGCATAACAGTTTGTGGTGGATGTGTTCAATATCTCATTTTGTGCTTAATGAAAGATGTTCTAGTACATTAGGTATTTTTAGATCTGCATGCAATAAAAGAAATTCAAGTCAAGATATTACTAGAGAAATTGCATTTCCTGCGAAAATGCCGTGTGAATGCTTATTGATGAAGATCTTGCTGGAAAAGCAGCTGAAATTACTTAGCTGAAATGGAAGAACAAGCCTAATTTAGCAGAAAGCCGAAAGAAAACATATTTGCTGAATTAGATTCAAATAAGCAGAAATTAGCACAAAACATTGGGAAAGTTGCTAAAAAAAAGCTGGATTAGCAAATTAATACTTAAAAAGTAGCTGAAAATGCAGAAAGAAGCATAAACTACCATAAGGAAATAGAAGGAGCTGAAATGAGTTAAAAAATGTGGAATTAGCTGAAAAAGCTCAACTGATCACAAAACAGCTAAAAAGTAAATGAAATAGCAGAAAATCTGAAACAAGCAGAAAAAAGCTGAAAGGAGCATAACAAGCAGAAATTGGCTGAAAAAAGTGGATTAGGCTGAAAGTGACAGAAATTACCATGAACAACTTGAATTGGTATGAAAACAGCCTAAATTATCTACAAAATGCTAAAAAAAAATGTAGCTTAAAATGTAGAACAAAGTTAAATTAGCAGAAGAAAGCAGAAAGATCATGTCTGCTGAAAGAGGCAGAAATTAGCAGAAAAAAAGTGGAAATTATCTGGAAAAAAGACGCTATTTGCAAAAAACAAGCAAAAAAACCCAGCAGAAAAGTAGTTAAAAAGGCATAAATAATTTTAAATTACCAGTAAGAAGTGGAGAGAACACATTTTTGCTGAATTAGGTGGGAAAAAAGTTGACATGAGTACAACAAATGTGGAATTAGCTGAAAAGCTTAAAAATGTATAAAACCAACTATACAGTAGCTGAAATAGTAGAAAAAGCTGAAACTTGCAGAAATAAGCTGAAAGGAGAACAAAACAGCTGAAAAACAGCTGAAATTAGCTAAAGATACTTGAAAACTGTTTAAATTTGCACAAGGAAGCTGAAAGTAGCTGAACAAGATGTAAAAGGAGCAGTAATAGGTTGTAAACAGATCTAAAGATTTGAAGGATGTAAATTTGTTTTCAGTGAGAAAAAAATGGCAGAAAAGGATAAATATTTCAAAAAGTAAAGTTGCACCAATACCAAAAGACATAGCACCTTTCTCCTGGACGAGCTGAACGTTTTGATGATTTGGTGAAATAGCACAAAAATTGTGGAACGAGAAAGATGTTGAAAAACATACAGAAAAAAAAAAGGATCACAATAGTGTGAATGCTTCATAAATATTCACACAAACATCCACTATCAATGTGAAAAACCTCCGAGCTGCTGAAAGTAGCAAATGGAAAAAAGTAAAGACAACGTGTTCAGCTCTACTCCACAAGTTTTATCCACTATGCTTTGTTTTTGCCTTGTAAGTACTTTGAAAGGTGTGCAGCAGAGACACATACTTCCAGCGCACAGCCTGAAACCTCAGTGGTATTTTAACAAACCGAGCGGCCGTTATTCTTTGCACAAGCCCTACAACTTCCTGTGTGTTCTGTCTGAGATTTTCTTATCAGGGTTATAAATTATTCAGGCAGAAACCGATTACATCTGTAGCTGCTGCCCTGCTGGTACATTAGTGAGTAGAAACAGCCTCCAGTGTTGTGCCCTGAGAGCTAAAACACAGACGGGGTGCAAATCTTTAAACTGTTTGTAAAACTGGAGCAAAATCAGACTTCCAATGCGTAAAACTGACCAAATGTTTGATGCAGTCAAAAAGCATAAACAATAATCATAATTTTGAGAGAAATCGTGCCATGCGGTACATAATTCAACCCAGGCGTCTCGACTGCTCAAGTGTATCTGTGAAATATTGGATGCAGGCAAATGGCCAAGATCTCCGTGGCCTTTTGATACTAAATCCCCCCTAAGCATATCTGTTGTCTTGCTCTTGGCACAGCACTGCTTTGGAAGGTCTCTGGGAGCTTGTAACCCGGCGCAGCAGTGGAGCTACAGACAAAGCACTGAACAGCGAGCTTGTTTTATGAACACTGGGGTGTGAGATTTGCTCTGGCAGTCAAGAGGATGAGCGACTGAAGTCCTGCAACAAGCTGATGTGTTGTTGGTTATGGGTGGTGTTAGCATGAAGCTAACGCCCTCAGCTTATTGTGTGAATTCACACAATTGTGATCCATTTTTCTTTCGTATGTTTTTCGGCATCTTTCTTGTTCCACAATTTTTGTACTATTTCAACAAATTATCAAAACATTCAGCTCTTTCTTTCCTGCTATGACTTTTGGTATTGGTGCAACTTTAGCTTTTTGAAATATTTAGCCTTTTCTGCCATTTTTGTCCTCATAAAAAATGAATTGGGCTCATTTTACAGCCTTCAAATCTTTAGATCTGTTCACAACCTTTTACTGCTCCTTTCACATTTTGTTCTGGTTCAGCTTCTTTCAGCTTCCTCATGCAAATTTAAGCTTTTTTTCAGCTACTTTCAGCTAATTTCGGCTGTTTTTTTCTTTCAGCTGTTCTGCTCCTTTCAGGATCTTTCTGCCAACTAAAACATTTTTGTGCTTCTTCTAACTTCTTTGTGCTAATGTCAGCTTGTTGTGCTCCTTTCAGCTTATTTCTGCTATTTCAGCTACTATTTAGCTGTTTTATGCTAATTTTATCTTTTTCAGCTAGTTCCACTTTTGTTGCACTCATTTAAACTTTTTCAGCCTCATTCAGCAAACATGTACTCTGTCCACTTCCTTCTGGTAATTTCAGCTTCTTTTCTTTTTTTATCTACTTTTCAGTTGTTGTTTTTTTGTTGTTCTTGTTGCCAATTTCAGCTTTTTTTAGGTAATTTCCACTTTTTGTGCTAATTTTTGCTTCTTTCAGCGTAATTGGGCAAACATGTTCTTTCTATTTTCTTATGCTAATTTAAGCTTGTTCTACCTTTTCATCTACACCTTTTTGGTATATTTTAGCTAATTTCAGCTGTTTTCAGATAAATTTAAGTTTTTCATGATAACTTCTGCTTCTTTCAGCCTGATTAAATTTTGTCCGCTCATTTCAACTTGTGCTCCTTTCAGCTAGTTTCAGTTATTTCAGCTACTATTTAGCAGTTGTTATGCTAATATTAGCTTTTTCAGCCAATTCCACATTTTTGCGCTCATTTCAACTTTTATGTTCTTTCTGCTTTCTCCTGCTGATTTACGCTTGTTCTACATTTTCAGCTAGGCTTCAGTATGTTGGTTTTTTTTGCTAATTTCAGCTGTTTTTCAGCAAGTTCTTCAGCAATAAGCGTTCACACTGCATTTTCGCAGGAAATGCAATTTCTCGTTTCCTCATATTTTCTCTGTGATCTACAGGTTGTTCCAAAAGAAGAAATAAAGGAGCCCTGAAAGAGTGTATGTTCCTCAAGGATCCCAAAGAGGAATCTTATGGCGATGAAGGAAACCAGCAAGTCGGCTCTTCTTACATCCTCTTCCTCACTTCCTGTGTTCCTCCGACTACTGAGCGGAGGAGAGAATTTCAAAACTGGTGCTTTGAAAACCACACCGAAAGTCATCATTTAACGCCCCTTTTATAAATTGCTTCTCCCCAATTGTGGATTTTTGAAGCTCTCGTGTTTTTGTTATCCAGTTATCCTTTTTTATGGCTCACGTCTATTAAAATGTTAATTCTTTGCCATTTTTTTGCCCCAGATTTCATTTGTACCGTGGTGTTTTTACTGATTCATCAACTGGTGCTTGTGTCTCGTATGAATGATTATTTGGGTATTTTTCGTCTTTTTTTTGGGATGAACTCTTTTTTTTTTTTTACCTTCTATACTGTAGCAAGAAAATATTTTTTACCTTGTAGCTTTAGCAATAACACATTCTTCAGTTTTTACATTTCAAATGCAAGCATTGTCAAAGTTCCTGAACGATATGAATCCCTGCAAACCAGGTCTCATTTACTGTCCCGCAGCTTCTGAGTCCAAAGCCTCCATGCCATTTGAAGAGATTATTGATTTACAGGCAACACAAACAATAAATGTGCAATAACTGCAGCTGATAGAACACTGTATTTGGTGATAGCAACTCAAATTTATCTCGAACATGCACAGAGATTATTTTAATCCTCAGTCTGTGCCCCGTTCCCCACGAATAAACTGAATGTTGTCACTTTTCTTTTGTTTTAAATCAGAAATATACAAATGTTATGTTTATTTTCAAGAATATTTTATATTAGATTAGAGACTAGAGGAGTTTTATCATTCCATATTTATTCTTTTTAATAGATGCAGATTAATATTTAGGATTTATTCATATTACAGATGAATAGAATGTTTTGTAGATTTGTTTCTTGCTTTTTTTTTGGTTTTTGTTTTGACAATCATAAGTGTTGAGACTGAGAGGAAAACTTGACGTTTTGGGGTTTTGTCAAATAAAAAATGTGTTTTTTTCTTTGAGCTAACATCTCCAAAGTTAGAGTGGTAACCCCCTCACCACCAGCCCATGATCCGTTTACTTTTGTCTCCATCTTTGCTGCAAAATGCTCCCTGTTGTGGTTTTCTTCTTCTGAAGACTTTGTTTTTGCTTTTTATAGTTTTTTTTTTATTTTTTATTATTATTTGTGGCACTCTTTGCTTTGTTCACTTAACTGCAGTCTTTACTACTCTGTCTTCTCTCACATTTTTTTCAACGTGAAAATAAACCTAAGATCTTGAAAAAAAAAAAAAACATAGTTTTTCCAAAATACCAGAATATTTTTCGTTTCTTAGAGAAAAGATAACAAAAAAGCTTGAAGTGTCACAAAGTAGCATTTTTATGGAAATAATTCCGATGAAAGATCTAGATTCGTACAGTATGTAACACACTGTTTTATACAATAAGACCCAAAACCTGTGAGCATTAAGGTTCATTTAAAATAATAGTTCAAATATTTTGATTTTGGGCTATATGGATACATTGTGAATAATTAATATCTTACCATTTGTAGATAGAGCTTTGAATGGCCTCATTTTGGACAAATAAGTTTTAAAGCCTTGTCCACAGCAAAACAATTTTTCCAAAATGGTCCCTTTATTTGTTGTTTCTAAAACTATACTTATAAACATGAAATTGTCTCTAGAAGCATATTTGTACACACACACACA